CTGCACCCCATAGCAGTGTCCTGCACCCCATAGTGCACTGTCCTGCACCCCATAGTGCAGTGTATCACACCCCATAGCAGTGTCCTGCACCCCATATTGCAGTGTATTGCACCCCATATCACACTGTCCTGCACCCATCACCCCATAGCAGTGTCCTGCACCCCATATTGCACTGTCCTACACCCCATATCACACTGTCCTGCACCCCATAGCAGTGTCCTGCACCCCATAGCAGTGTCCTGCACCCCATAGTCCAGTGTATTGCACCCCACAGCAGTGTCCTGCACCCCATAGTGCAGGTACTACACCCCACAGCAGTGTCCTGCACCCCATATTGCAGTGTCCTGCACCCCATAGCAGTGTCCTGCACCCCATAGTGCACTGTCCTGCACCCCATAGTGCAGTGTATCGCACCCCATAGCAGTGTCCTGCACCCCATATTGCAGTGTATTGCACCCCATATCACACTGTCCTGCACCCATCACCCCATAGCAGTGTCCTGCACCCCATATTGCACTGTCCTGCACCCCATGGTGCAGGTACTGCACCCCATAGCGGTGTCCTGCACCCCAAATTGCAGTGTATCGCACCCCATAGCAGTGTCCTACACCCCATATCGCAGTGTCCTGCACCCATCACCCCATAGCAGTGTCCTGCACCCCATAGTGCAGGTTCTGCACCCCATAGTGCAGGTACTGCACCCCATAGCAGTGTCCTGCACCCCATATTGCACTGTCCTACACCCCATAGTGCAGGTACTGCACCCCATAGCAGTGTCCTGCACCCCATAGTGCAGGTTCTGCACCCCATAGTGCAGGTACTGCACCCCATAGCAGTGTCCTGCACCCCATATTGCACTGTCCTACACCCCGTATCACACTGTCCTGCACCCATCACCCCATATCAGTGTCCTACACCCCGATACCCCAAAACGCCGTCACCTGCGGCGATACCCCAATATCCTGTCACCTGCAGTGACACCCCGACACCTGCAGCGAATCCCATCACCCACAGTGAGACCCTGACACCCCAACACCCGTGACACCCTGACCAGTGACACCCTGCCCCCTGCAGTGACACCCCAACACCCTCAGCGACACCCCAACACCCTCAGTGACACCCAGACCAGTGTCACCCTGCCCCCCGC